TATATATATATATTTATACACACATATATCTATATATATATATATACATATATATATATATATATATATATGTATTCAATATGGGGTTAGGGTTGAGTGTTTAAAGGGTGATTAGTTGAGGTTTTTAGGAATTAGGTTCGATAGGGTGGGCTTCTTGATAGGATAAGTTGTTCTTAAAGCGAATATTGTATCCTTTATCCTGAACTCGGGGTCCAAAATGCTTATGTCCCAAACCGTCGGCGTAAGCTTCAGGGTTCGACGCCGACGCGTGGACATCAGTGTCGAACGGGATTTTTAATCAAATAGGTTAGGGGAAGCCATGTAGACGGGTTCCTCGAAGCGAGAAACTTTGCATGCCCTGCCCTTCCACTGAGCAATGCAACAAGGAGTTCATGAACAAAGCACCAGAACCGCGCATCTTCCGGCCTAATATCCTTTTCGCTGCCCTGTCGGTCTTCGATGTATTGGGGGGCGGCTTTTTACAGCGCGATTTGTTGCCGTGCCCCTCATCGTCTCAGATGCCTCAGAAGCCTTACAGTAAGACAGTAATGATGTGGTAGGGCCGGCACCCCAGAACGCCTCTGTACCCATAATCCCTAAAGCCCTGTCCTGGAGATCCTAAGCCCTGTAATTAAGCCCCAACCCTAAAACCCAAACTACAGACCGAGTGTGAGTGTCAAAACCATAAACAAGCCTTAGTCCGACATATCCATGCTACAATCTAGCGGTTTAGGGTTTAGGGAAAAAGATGAAACATGATTCCATTCCTTATGAGTTACTGGATAAAGCTTGTACTCTAACGTACCCCCCCTGCCGCTCTTCGACTTAGTAAGGCATTTTTGCTAAGTTTTGGAAAATTTCTGAAGCCCCAAACCTTGTACCTCCTCACGGCCTTGGAGTTCACTTCCGTATCCAGCCCCTCCGCTTGGGAGTTTCCGAAAGTCACCCTTAGCATCAAAATAGCCCAGAAGCCTTATATAATAGGGTCTTTGGGCCCAAAAGCAACTATGAGTCCTTAGAGTCCTAGGGTCTCCTGATGATTCGTAGAGACCTCCTACTTGCATGTAAAACCCTTATCGGGACTCTTTTGTAACAAGCCATTCAGGACCACAAAAGCAAGGAAATTGTTCAGCAACTCCGGTATGGTCCCTAAACCCTAAACCCTAAACCCTAAACCCAGGTACAGCCAGCCTGGGTCTACAGCGAGCCTAACCCGGTAGCTCTGGGACCCAACGTTCCCAGCAGCATCCCGCCGGGGATGATGGATTTCAGGGTTCCTTAAGACGAGTTTTATAAGGGTTTTGGTTTACGGGTCTCGGCAGGGGATGTCATATGTTTAGGGATGCTCAGGGTTTAAAGGCTTGCGGAATCGTTGTTGGAAAGTTTAGGGTTATGTTCTCGCCCAGAGTCCGCTGAGGTTGCGTAGCAGCGCTCCCTCCCTCTCTCTTTCTCTCTCTCTCGGCAACTGTTTCGACAATTCTGGTTCACAGATCGAAAGTCGGAAGTTGCTTGATCTTCGTAATCTGGACACTCGATATTGCGATTGCAGATTCGCTTGCTTGCCGTTGTGCAGCTTCACTTGAACTGCTGTCTTTGTACATCACCTTGAACTTTTTTCTGGCCTGAAGGTTCCAGCTAGACCTGCGGGCGATGTGAATGCTAGTGCAAGTACAACCCAAAGGCTCAACATGGCCCGAAGGCCATGTATGGTACTGTCCCTGGTGCCAGAAGCCTTAAAGAATGAAGCCCTAAACCCTAAACCCTATCCTTAGAGCTTGCTAGACCCCTCTAGAGACCCTACGATGGCTAGCCGTTTCTCAGCAATCGGGCGTTGGCTCTTATGGTCGGGATTTGTTGTGGTCTCCACTAGAACAAAAGGTTGTGGGGTTGAGGAATTGTTCGCTTTTGTTGGTGGGTTTAGGGTGTTCAGACCTTTTGCTATTTCAAGGTTGGGGTGAAGTTCATTGATTTCGGCCTTTTTCTGGTATACAGAAGCCTCACGTCTGCATCATGATGCTGCTGCGAGCCACTGTGATGAGCTCTTATTATCTCAAGAACAGGTGTTGTCAGAGATTCACGGCTGAGAACACATCCCAACAGGGTTTCCAAACCCTCTGATAAATTGAGCGCGAGGTAAGAAGCATGCCACAGTCCGAGGCAATCTCTCGGCCTTGCCACAGTCCTGGCTATTTCGGGATTACCGCGTCCTGGCCGAGGTTTGTGGCACATGCCCTGTTTGGTAGATTCCTGCTCAGGGTTTAGGTTGCTTAAGACATGCTTAGGCCACTCTGGAACATAACTTCGTAGAGTACAGCAGTAGCTAGAAGGATCGAAACAGACAATCTTTATAATGCAAACGTGAAGGGCATCCAGGAACTGGGCTCCCCAGTAATTTCGTGGTGTCATGAACTCCTGTAATGAGAGTAGTTTAGGGTTTAGGGTTTAGGGTTTAGGGTTTAGGGTTTAGGTAATATTCAGGTCTCCACAGTACATGGCTTTCTTGGGCTTACCTGCTGTGACTTTCAGAGGGAGATGTGCTGCCCAGTGCACATGCTACGGCCCATGACCGAACTTCAAAGTACCAAAGCCAGATCTGAACCTGCAAGAGGCATTTTAGGGTTTAGGGTTTAGGGTTTAGGGGTTTAGGGGTTTAGGGCTTAAGGGTTTAAGGGTTTAGGGTTTAGGGTTTAAGGGTTTAGGGTTTAGGGTTTAGGGTTTAGGCTCAAAATTCCTTCGTTGGTCTTTGCCTAGACCTCCGACTCCAAGCCCGAAGCCGAACTTTCCCAAACACGGTTTAGGGTTTAGGGTTTAGGGTTTAGGGTTTAGGGTTTAGGCCTTTAAGCAAAGTGTGGGTGCTGGCTACAGGGACCTTGATTGCAATTAGAGAAGGCTTCGGTGTCGACTGACAGCATCCCTAAGCCCTAAACCCTAAACGAACCCCTAAAACATAGAAGCCGAAAGCCCTAAACTGAACCCTAAAAGAGATAGAAGCCCTAAGCCCTAAATACTAATCAAGCCCCCAAACATGAGAATCAACAAGCCCGAACCAGAAGCCTAAAAAGGAGAGTCCCTCCTTCTCTGAGGGCCCTCAGCTCCCAGGAGGGCACTTAGCCTGGTTGCAGCCGAAATCAAAGGCACGAAGCTCCCAAGGCCCAAAACCGAATATAGAAGACGGTTTAGGGTTTAGGGTTTAGGAAAATCCTCACCAATAACGTCCCTTCGGGTTCCTAAAATATAGAGCTCGAAATACAGAGATGTGCCTCGAAATCACTTCATCCTCACTCTTACGGCCTCCATATTCACCGGCCCGTCGGTGGGAGATTGGACTTTGCATCATGTTGCACTCGGGCCTCGGAGCCCGAAGCGAGCCTATTAGGCCCTGAGTTTAGGGTTTAGGGCTTTGGGTTTAGGGGTTTAGGGTTTAGGGTTTAGGGTTTGGGGGGTGTTCGGGTTCTTTGTGACCCTACAAACCTTCAACCCCATACACCTCAGAAGCCCGAGAAGCCAAACAGCACCAAAAATCCCCACAACGGCCCCCCCCCCCCCTCCCCCCCAGTAAGCCTTACAACTCACTGGACCCTAAAACCTGAACCCGATGCTAAACCCTAACACCCGCAACCAAGCCACTTAGTTTGCGGAAGATGAGGCAAGGCTGCACCGATGCCCAACGACTACCTTCATTTCTCGAAGCCACAGAGCTTGCCTTGCGTAAGGTATTGGGATATTCCTGGTGGTGAGGAATCTTTGGGTTAGGGGTAGCGCACACAGCTGGGACGCACTGGCTCAGCGCAAGCCGATCCGAATTGGGTTGGGGCGGTTTCGGGGTCTGACGAGTTGGGTACATACCGGGGCTTGCGCTGCTTGGTTTTTTTCCGGGGTTCTGGAAGATTTAGAGTTTCGGTCTTGGCTGCTAGTGCCCATATGATCCAGGGAATACTGGGGAATTTAGATGTGCTGTGCATATGGCCAAATGAAGCTGGTCCTGCAACCCGCAAACTACATCTGTACTGGGAGGGTCACGGGACTTAGCCAACAACTTAAAATGTTATTACCTAAGTCGGGAAAATTCCCGGTAGCCTTACCTCCCTTTAGCTTTCTTGCTAAGTCCCCGGAGCCTCCAAGATAGCCCCAAGGCCCTCAACCCTAAGGCCCTCAAGGGCCCGACATGCAAAGCCCCTGAACCCAACGCCCTAGCCCTAAACACGGCTTAGGGTTTAGGGTTTAAGCCTAAACCCCTAAGCCCTAAACCCGAAACGCAAAGAAGGCTTGTTGGGGGCATCCGACTTCGACAGATTGCAGCCGATGTTGACGACTGCACACTGCCATCATTGGTGGACCTCCGCCGGTCTTGAGGGAAGTTTAGGGTTCGTCTTTGCAGTATAGAGATGAATATATAGAAGCCTAAATAAATACCAATAGTATTTTGTGGGGTTCCTTATTATAACTTTACTAGAATATACCCCAAAACCCTATTCTACTTATTACGGCCCCTGCATCAAACCCTTATAACACCCTTTATAGTAACCCTTTTAAAGGAACCCTTAAAGGCACCCTGTTCTAACCATTAAGGCCCCTACATTAGGCCTTGGGATCAGGGCAGCCCTTGAAGTCTCCCGCAAAAATGACCCAACGGTACATTCCTTTGGTTATCCCCTCAGACGGAAAGCCAGTTCGGGGGTTTAGGGTTTAGGGTGCACGAGCCCTGATGCAAAAAAAAGGGGTTTTTGGTGCTGTGTCCGTGGCAGGGACTTGGAACATTGGAAAAATGTTCTTCGTCGGTTGGGTGCTTCGGCTGTCCGGAATCTTTAGGTGTCATGCTTTTGGCTGCAGGACGCGAGGATTGAGGGTCCTATGCAACGTGCCAAGGTGCCAGCTCTTCAGACGGTGCTTTTTCACTTGCTGGCGTAACCCTATACACGGCCTTAAGCCCCAAGCCAACTCTTTCTGCACTTTGCCTGACATGGGCTTCTAAACCCAAGGCCCTAAACCCCACTCCCACAAAAATATCCTAAGCGCAAAACCCACGAACAACAACGTAAAAGCCCGAAACGTCTGAGTGAAATTCAGATTTGCTGCAGGCCGCATCTTTGAGGTCCAGACCCGGGGCTTCTGACGTACGGATTGAAGGTTTAGGGTCTAAGTTTTAGACTTAGGGTTTCAGGTTTAGGGTTGAGGGCTTTGGGTTTAGGGTCTAAGTTTTAGACTCAAGAGTTTATGGACATTCAGGAATTTCGTCAGGTTCGATTAGGCTTCGGTGATTTGGCTTAAGCTTTAGAGTTTGGGCTGTAGCTTTTTTTGTTGTGTTGAGAAGTGTTTTAGATTCACTCCTACAATCTCGCAATATACGACAGCCAGACAGTGCTATGGGGGACCATTGCAATTTTCTTTTCTGTATATATATATATATGTATATAAAGGGAGAGAGATACGTATGTATGTATATATATATATATGTATATATATATATATGACACACACACACACACATTTTCTTCAGATCCTTCAACAGCAGCGCAGGATCCTGTCCGCTTCGCGGCGTGGTTGGGAAAGCCGTGCATCCGGGCAGCAAGCTGCAACGGCAAGCTTAAGTAACTAGTCATACTGTTGATGGACAAAATTCTGCATGACCCAAATATAGTATAGTACCATAAATCCCATGGCTTAGGTATATACGGTCATGCAGGATTTTGTCCATCAACCATACCGACCCTTCTTGTCGGTTCCTTGTTGTCAACTGTTAAAGAACACCCTAACCTCCCAGGTACCTATTATATAGGGTACTAGAGGGGTTCCAGGGCCCTATATAGTAGGCACTTGGAGGGTTAGGGACACTTTGACTACGGCATACTCGGAACGCAGGCTGTCGGAATAAAGGCAAGCCCGAAATCTAAACCAAACTACAGGGAGTGGCAAAGCCTTGCGGCGGAGACGGAGCATTTCCATAAACCTAGATCTCTGACATATCCTTTGGCTGCTATCGAATCGCGGCCGATACTCCTTTACCCCCGACTCCACTGTCCTGGAAGTGGAGACACTGAGGCACTGCGGGCAAGTTGTTGGCTTCGGTTACTTCTCGGGGGCTGGGTGGCTCTGGAACCAAAGAAGCTAGATTCCCCTAAGCCCTAAACCCTAAACCGTAAGTTGTGCAAAAAGTCTTTGCATACAGCCATACACTTCCAAGTACCTGCATAGTTCAAGTTCCAATCACTTGAACATTGGGTGTCCGGCACAGGGTATGTATCCCAAAACGATCCCCGAACCGCAAACCATTCAACCCTAAACCTAAACCCTGCGAGCGAGAGTGAGAGTCGAAACCCTAACCCTGCACCCTAGAAGGGGGTATGTATCCCAAAACAACCCCCGAACCCCAAACCACTCGACCCCTAAACCCTACACCTTAAAACCCCTGACCCCGAGACCCTGAACCCGCGAGCCCCTGGAAGCCAGGCACGCCCAGTTCCATTGGTGCCCTGAGCCCGGAGAGACCATCGGCGCAGCAATTCAACGGCTTCTCCCGCACTCAGCAACTGGGGCCTTCTCGGGACCGAAGCAAATAAAAGATGAGGGTCTGAAAAAGGAAGTATATATGATTTCTATAACAAGGGCGTTTTAAGGATTGATAGAGGCCTTACTACTTGGGCCAGAGTTTCGGATTTTACGAGTACATGGCTTCTATATGCGGATTTTGAATATCAGTTAATCCGACCCCTCTATAGTGTCATCAATCTTGGGTGACGTGTTGTGGGTAGCGGACTTCATGGGACCTGGGTACATTGTGGGTTTTGTGGGGTCTCATAGGGCTGTCCAGGCTGCCGCATACTGTGCAATAGCGTTCCATAGGGTTCCCAAATAACTTCTCAGTTGAATATCGCCCTAACCCTAATGTGTTTATGTAGGCCCGTTTAGTACCCTGAGCGCATTGTGGCTCAGCACTTTCCTGTTCGTGGCAATAAGCAGCAGAAAGCCGGGCAGCAGTGTTGCTAGTGATCATAGTACTTGGGTTCAGGGTTTAGGGATGCGGTTGGGTTTATTTAGGGATGCTGTCCTTCGTACGAAGCTACCGCAAGCCACAATGCTTTTGATCCTCCGTCTTGCTTACACCGATTCTTTCTTTCAGGCTTGACATAGCCCCGAGGCCATGATGGTGTCGTCCTCCCTAAACCCTAAAGTCTAAACCCTAAGCCCTGAACCCCTAAACCTTAAACCCCTAAGCCCTAAACCCGTCAGTCGTAAGTGCATTTGTCCTCAAATCCTCCGGGGTAACGGGCATATCTGGTTTCCTGAGGTCCATGTCTGTTTAGGGGTTAGGGTTTAGACGTTTAGGGTTTATTGATCAACCCTTGTGGCTGGCTGGACCGTAGGCTACCCGAAGTCAGGGCTGTACGTAGGGACGTAGGGTTTGGGGTTTGGGGGTTTAGGCTTTGGCTTTTTGGACTCCCTCGGTTCGTTGCCTTTGTACATTTTTTCACACGTGTATCATGGAATTAGCCGGATTTTGGGCAGGTAAGCTATACTCCCAAGGACTCTCCAAAGCAAACTGCCTGACCCAACATAGCTGTAGCATCCTGGTCCAACACCCAGACCCTCATCTCGCACGCCCGGCCGCCTGCACTGACGAAGGGTGGACAACAAGACACGGGATTACTGGAATTGATTGCAAGATTTAGCTTCGGGGTTCTTGCGGCTGGACTCACGCAGTGCAAGATGGGCAAGTACCTGGCTTCCGGGATGTAGGATCGTACGACTGAAGCTGAAATAATGTCTGACCTTCATTTGTTATAAAGCTTTGTCTTAGTTTGCTGCATTTCCCCCAGAGCTGCCGAGCACAAAGGTACATCTTACCGGGTGTGGACACGCTGCCGGAGATGCAGAGGCTGCATGGGCACTGCTCTTAATCCGGATTTAGGGTTTAGGGTTTAAACAAGTTTTTGATTCCATGAACTGGAGCTTCAGAAAACAAGCGTCCGTGACCCGAACTGGTAAGACACGGGTCGAAGCCGACATAGTCGGATCCTCGTGGACAAGACACCCTAAACTTACCCTAAACCGCCCTTACAGCCTTGGAGTGACAGGCTAGCCGAACCCTACACTCCCTGTAGCCCCAGTCAGTGCAAAAAAACTCAACCCTGGAGTAGTGGCAGTTATACTAGATTCTAACTACCTGGACTATTGTAGTAAACCAACGCTCCATTCCAATCCTCGACAAAAGCTAACTCCTATCCAGCACGCCTTAGACTTCAAATCCAAACGTTCGTCCGTTAAGATCCCGAAGTCCCTGAGCTCTAAGCCTTAACCCAGAAGCCCCTACTACAGAAGCCTAAACAATTACCAATATTGTTCTTTAGGGTTTCTGATTATCACAACAATATAAAGGAGCCCCAATCCCGATTCTAATTATTAAAGCTCCTACATCTAGGACAGTTTCAGCTGGGTAGTTACCGTTTTAGGAGCCTTGTAAAAGGTCTATATACCTTATAGAAGCCCTGTATACCCTAAACTCCCCACCTGTAGTTTCCTTTAACTAACTATATTACCTCCAGCTAGAAGTCTTGCAGGACTTTGCTGGATATGGAAGACGGCTGCAACTATGCGCATTCCATCGGCGACCTAAGCACCTGCCTTTGCGACTGGCGCCCTGGTATGGTTTCGGATGTGGGGCTGAGGATTCAGGCTTTAGGATTGGGTTCGGGCTTCATGTTGTTTTGTTTGAGTGGGGGGGGGGGGTGGGGGTGGGCAGGATCTTGTAAGATTTAGGTCTTGCACCATGTAGGGGTTGGCGATCGTTTCAGGATTTACGTTGGGTGAGTTTCTCCTACAGTTGATAGGGTTTAGGAACCTATAGCTCTGGACTGGACTCCAGTCAACCGAGGTTGTCATAGTCGCCGGAAGCCTTTCGATGCGACGACGGTATACCATAGAAGCCTGAATAATTACCAGTACTATTCCTTAGGTTTCCTTTTGATTCATAAGTGTGCAAAAACACACAGCAAAACACATCAAAACACTGTTCCAATTATCGAGGCCCCAATGCTAGGTGAGCTTCTGGAAGCTGGTGTGTCCAGGGTTGTCCTTCTGGAAGTTCACCGACATATCGGTTGAGGTAGCTTCGTTTTGTGGGATTACTATTGCAGTGAAGCTCCAGGCTCTGGAACCCGGCCCTAAGCCCTGAAACCTAAACCCTGGACCGTAATGTTACGGTACCTAGAGTCTCCATTGTAGTTCCTTTTTTGGGTTTAACCAATCATATGTTTAGGATCTTCTAAGGTAACCCCAAAAAGCAACTACCCTAAACCCTAAACCCTAAACCCTAACCCCAAAAAGCAACGGATGTACAACGGACGCTATAGGTACAGCCCATCCTTCAGTCTTGCTCATGTGGGAGTTTCCGAAAATTAGGGGGTACCTTATTTTGGGGTCCTTGTAACTTAAGGATCCTATTATTTGGGGTACTATATTAGGGTCCTAAACCCTAAACCCCAAACCCTAAACCCTAAACCCTAAACCGTTTGCGGAAACCCCCATGTCTGTGCCCAGGTGCAAGCAGCAACCCCGTCAACCCTGGCTCGACGAGCAGACACTTAGTAGCTGAGTAAGTACACTTTACATTTAGGGTTTAGGGTTTAGGGTTTAGGACCCTAATATAGTACCCCAAATAATAGGGTTTGGGGTTTAGGGTTTTTTGGGATAATATGATCCCTTATAGANNGCTTATGAACTCAGCAACTAAGGACAGCACGAGTGGAAGTGAGCTATGTTGTGTTCAACGCACAGCCCCCCGGCGATGAGACATGAGTGATCTAAAGCCAGAGCTTCACCGCCCGGATGCAAAAGAGGGGTTGAGGGGGCATTGTCTGAGGTATGGGCTCTACACCTACGTGTCCATCAACTTCTTGCTCAATCGAGGGGGACATGTCTATCGGTTTACGGACATGATCTCTTGTTTCCAGGACCTGCAATGTGGTTTAGGGTTTAGGGTATTGTGAGTTCCTTAAGCTCCTGAAGACAAGAGAGCAGCTGGATGCGTTTAGGGCGCCAAACTCGGGGACGTCCCTGCCTACCGGAAGACTTGGGGAGGTTTGGGGTGATTGGTTCAGGAGTTATGGTTTGGGCTCGGGCAATCCGGGATCCGAAGGCTTGTCCGACCCGGACGGTGCGTTCCTACGTCCAGGACCCCCTGCGGACGTCGATGGGCAATTCCATTCCCACTGCTATCGCCATCGCGATTTGGGCAGTTCTTCAAGTGCCTTTGCTCCCGGGTACTCATTGCCATGCACTATATTATATACTGATATCTTAATATTTAGTTTATGTTTCCCATGTCAATCCGACATCTTCTCACAACCTCTCCTTTGCTATCTACAAGTGTGTATCAGGCATGCAAAACTAAAACGGTTTGACAGTGTATCCCAAACCCCCGAGAACAAAGCTGCAAGTTGCTTGACGTGCACAGTACCATCAGTTCTTAATCACTGACCCGGAGGGCCTATATAACACAAGTGTAAACCTTGGCCATGCGGGATTTCCTCAGAACCCCGTTCAGGCATGGGTGTGAATTAAACAGACACTTTGGGTGACTTAGAAATAATTCTCAATCTTTGGTCATTATAATCCCCCTAAGAAACAACTAAAGCTATAACTTTTGCCAGGGTCCCAAGTTCAGTATAGGGTATCTGAAACTGCAAACTTTGACCCCCCCCCTACCCCAAGCCGTACACCTTGAAACCCTACGCTCTGCATCTTAAGCCCTAAGCCCGAAACCCTAAAACCCTAGAGCCCTACACGCAGAAAAGGTCAAGTCCCAAACTTGACACGTTAAACCCTAGAGTCTGAGTCCTAAGCCCTGCACCTCATCCCTATCTCCTAAAACCAAAACCCCTATACAGCAAACCCGGTACTACCATTAACCCTAGCCCTCTGCTTCCAGGGACCTTCTTATTGGATCCTTCACGGGTCTAGGGCCCTCACTCTACGGTCCTTGGAAGCATAGGGCAAACCCTAAACCCAGAGCTCTTTTTTCTCCCAAAAGCCCAACACGTTAACTCGCAGGTAAAGCTGCTGATCGATGAAATCCGCGATGCGATTCGCACGGTTCGCTCTTCGAAGCATGGGAGACTCGGGCAGAGCTGGCAAGAGCGTTTAGGGTTTAGGGTTTAGGGCATAGGCTTACAGCAGGTGGCATATCGGGTTCTTTAAACGGGGTTCCATAAGGGTTCTATAGGTTTCTATTGGTAGGTTGGGAGGATTTAGAGCTAAGTCTTTGCCTGTACCTGCGTGCCACATTTCTCTGTATGTGTGTATATGTATACACTTAGAGTTATAAGATTGTATAACCTACATGTGTACACGACAGGGTTCCACTTAGGGATTAAGGTCTTAGTGACGTAGGAGTTGTGAGGGGCCTAAAAAATTAACAATAGTCTTTTAGGGGTTCCTCATTATACTTATAGTATAATGTGCCCCAAAACCCCTATTCCGATTAATAAGGCCCCCCATACCTCAAACCCTTATATAGTAGCCCTGATAGAACCCTTTAAGGAACTCTTTAAAGGAACCCCCAAACCCTCTAACTATAGGGGTTTGCAGGTTGTGGGCTCGGGGCTTGGAGTTCAAGGTTTCCTTTGGCTCCCTGACACATGGTTCTGGTAGTCTTTATGCCACTTTATGCCATGAGAAATGGGCCCTTGCAAGAACCCATACGGGTAGTTCTACAAAATTAGGGTCCGTTGTTGCATTCCCTATATAGAACGGCGCCCTTATGATAAAGAATCCTAGAAATGACCCTGATGTAGAGAACCACCCATGGAGTGACCTTACCTAAACCTAAGTTTAAGAAAAGTATCTCTATATATATATATATATATATATATACACCCTAAACCCTAAACCCTAAGCCCTCAACCCTAAACCAAAGCTCTTTGAAGCCCGAGCCAAAGAGATGGCCCAAGGAGCCCTGATCTCACAACCCGTACACCCTTTTAAACCCTTAATGTAGGGGCCTCAATAATTTGAATAGGGTTCCCTTAAGATAAGGGTTCCTTTAAAAGGGTTATTATAAAAGGTATTATAAGGGTTTAATGTAGGGGCCTTAATAATTTGAATAGGGTTCCTTTAAGCGGTTTACAATAAAAGATATTGAAAGGGTTTAATGTTGGGGCCTTAATAATTTGAACAGGGTTTTGGGGGTTCTTTATTATAGTTATAGTATAATGCGCCCCAAAACCCTATTCTAATTATGAAGGCCCGTATCTTAAGCCCTTTTTGAAAGAGCTCTTGCAAGAACCCTCAAACTGGAGGCCCTCAGGCCCATCTGAACCTTAAAGCCCCATGGAAGACTTCGACAAGGATCTGGCGGGGTCTGCTGCGCGACTACCTGCGCTTTTGGAACCTAGCCTCCCGGGCTGCAGAGCTCCTTCCATGTTTGGCTTAATCACCTCTATATTTACGGATCTTATAAGCCCAAAGGCCCAAAAGGGAACTACAAAGGAGACTATAGGTAGGGTTTGCGGGGGCTCTTCGGCCTGATCGTTTGTTTCTGGTCTAAGTTTTCTGGCTTAGGGTTTAGCGCCTCGGGTTTAGGGAGGGAGGCTCTCGTTACAGACCCTAGATGACTTTCCTGTCGCCCTGCTCAGAACCTCTCCCAGACATGTGATGAAAGCCTTGTGCAAGTTCTTGGAGCACGTAGGGGCATGTAAACGTAAGTTCATACTGCTGATGGACAAAATCCTGCATGACCTTATATACCTAAAGTATGGGATTTATGGTACTATACTATACTTGGGTCATGCAGAATTTTGTCCATCAACGTAGCGCAGAAATGCCGAAACTTTCCTTGTAGGCTACCTCTCCCGGAGAAAGCCGAGGCATGGAGCATAGTCCTTCAAGTCCCCCTTTAAGATGGCTTGTTATTAAAGACTGTTGTTAGTATTCTCATTGTTTCTATTGGATTAGGAATAGTCGTAGTCCATCTGGAATGACATAAGTTGTCGTGGGAGTGAGTGCAGTGAGTACAGGTGATACGTGGCCCCAACGTCCCGCAGGCCCCTAAACCCAAAGCTCTCGACCCAATGAATCAACAAGCACAGCAGTCTCCAACAAAGTCGTCTTGGTCTTGTAGGATTCCCGAAAAGCCCGTTGAATGAGCATCAAGGTCGATTGGTTGTCGATGATCGTGGCCGGCATGGCTGTCTTCTTCTGGCTCAACGTTCGCACTCAGGCCGGGCAGGGTCTAAAGTTGAGTCACAGTTGATTGCTCTGTCGGGGTCTTTGTGTGCAGGTGTTGATTTAATTTGTGCCACGGTCCAGCTTGACGGAAACGGGATTGGATCCAAATTTAGCCTTTGAAACCCTAAACCCTAAACCCTAAACATTAAATGAACTCTGAAACTCTTAGGGCCTTCAACCTGCAGCTGCAGACAATTGAGCACCATGTGGCATATTCCTTGATGAAGGGGTTTGCAGAGGTGGATGCAGTGAACTCGCTGATGCCGGCCACCGTGCGCGCCACGATGTACCCGACTGGGCAAGCTGTGGGAGAGAGGCGAGCCGCGAGCCATTGCTGCAGTCTACCCTACACCCTAAGCCCTTGGCCATGCCGTGTCCGTAAGGTTTGAATTCCGAACTTGTAGGTTTCGTGAGGCTGTTTTTGGGGGTTGGGATGTTTATGGTATATTCGAACGGTCACAGGATATGGGCGGTAATTGAAACCAGCTCTTCTAATGGACGTTGCGTGTGTTTCTCAATTTTCGAAATCCACTGATCCTTTAAAGGGCGTTGCGTGCGTTTCTCAAATTTTGAAATCCACTGATCCTTCAAGGACAGGTAAATCAAACAAACTGGAAGGTTTGCAGTCACGAGTGCTGCAATGGACACGGTTGTGCGGTTGAAGGGAGTGGGGGGCATTTTTGATGGCAGCCCTGTGCCGACTGCCAGGATAACAACTGACTTGATGGTGCTGTTGCCGCTGATAATGGCGAGGATGCTGGCGATAGTCTTGGCACAGTTGATGGTGATGGTGATGTTAGTGGCTTACAAGAGACAGCGATCAGATTACCAAGTCGACATCGATGGTTATGACCTAAACCCTAAACCCTAAACCTAAAAGAGGACACCCGAGGCTTGCTGGTTTCGGATCTGGCTTTGCTTCCCGATGTTGTACGGTGGCGGGGTGGGGGGGGAGGGGCTTCACTCATGCTTGGCGATGGAGTTCCCAGGACTGAATATTTTCGCACTTATGGGGTAGACTCTGGTAGACTCCAACGGCAATAGCAAAGAATCGCCTGAAGACGAATCTTGCCTAAGAGCGACAAGCAAGTGTAATGTTACTCATATGCAAATATGTATGCAGAAACGTGCATGCCTATGTATACATATACATACATACATACATACATATATATATATATGTATCATATATCATACAAATATATATATTCATATACATCTGATCTGAACATATGTGTTTGTTCATTTGGTTCTCATGACCATCATTCTTACGATTTTTAGCGATGCCCTTGCCCTAGATGCCGAGGTATAAGCCCACTGCGGAGGCGTGGTTCACAGCTGCGGAGCAAATGAGCCTGGCAAATTCCGCCTGCACCGTGCCTTTCCAAACCAATTAATCCCTAAGGGTCCAAAGGACCCAATAATAAGGTACTTTGGTTGCGGATAGTAGTTTTCTAGCTTAATATTAGGGAGAGTATATGATTATTAGGTACTTGGACCCTTAGGGAATGGTTTAATGAATACTTTTCAATCTCATGGTCACGCTCAGGGCTTCAAGCAAGTATGTATGAATGTATGCATGTATGTGTGTATGCATGTGCATATGTATGTATGTATGTATGTATGTATGTATGTATGTATGTATGTATGTGTGTGTACGCATGCATGCATGCATGTATGTATGTATGCATGTATGTATGTATGAATGTATGTTTGTATGTGTATGTGTGTATATATATATATACATATTCGTATTAATGGAACTACAAGCAGGAACTCCAAGGAGTGATGTAGGTAACTCTGCAGGCTTCTGTACTAGCTGGTGCCTTGACGTGCGTGGCCTTGTCGATGGACGGCTGGCGATTGAAACCTGGTTGAACCCCGTTTAGGGTTCAGGGGTTTAGGGTTTACCTTAACCCCAAGGAACCTACCCTTTGAAGGACTTATATAAAGAAACTATAATAAGGAGCCCAAAAAAAGTAGGTTGTTTGGGGTCCACGTAGTGTTTAGGGCTTAGGCCTTAAACCCTGAGCCCGACTATGCCCAGCAGCCCTATACAAAGGATCCCTATTTGGGGATCCTTCTCACACTAAGGGTTCAGTTTTTGGTACTATAGGGCCCTTAAATAATCAAAATAGGGTTTTGGGGTATATTATGCTATAACTATAATTTGGACTCCCACCAAAAAATGTATAGGTAATTATCAATGCCCTTATATTTTCCTCCTAAGAAGGATGTTCTCGTTCACTCCTCTCTGCTCTTTTACGTCCTGCTCTGAGGTTGAAGCCACGGGCCCCTTCGCCCTAGAATCCTGACATACAAACAGTACAAACTATATACCCTACACCTTAAGGGCCCTAGGCCCTAGAATCCCCCAAAAATACGGCCTAAGAGCCCGTACTAGGGGCCCATACTTTTCACCCTAAACCCTAAACCCTAACCCTAAACGATTTAGGGTTTGGGGCCCCTAAACCCTAAACTCCTAAACCCATCTCGTACGGAGGCCAGAGATCTCCTGTCCAGCCGTGCCACGGACCCGACAGCGCACCTCCACTGACCACTGGGTGGCCAAGAAGAGCCTGGGTTTCTTGGCTTCCTTTGCGGTTTAGGGTTTAGGGTTTAGGGTTTAGGGTTTAGGGTTTCTTGGGTTCCTTTACGGGTTCCTTTATGGGTTCCGTTAAGCTTCTATATAGGGATGTCAGGGTGTAGTTCAGGAGGGTTCCTTTATGGGTTCCGCTAAGCTTCTATATAGGGATGTCAGGGTGTAGGGTTTAGGGGCTGGTTTCCTGAGGCTTTCGGGTTTAGGTTGTACAGTTTAGGAGGGTTACTTTATGGGTTCCTTTGAAGGTTCTATAGGGATTTAAAGGTGTAGGGTTTAGGGGCTGGTCTCTTGAGGGTTTAAGGTTTAGGGTTGAGGCTTTAGGGATTAGGAGGGTTACTTTATGGGTTCCTTTCAAGGTTCTATAGGGACTCAACGGTGTAGGGTTTAAGGGCAAAGGGCTGCATTGTATTGGTGATTTAAGGTTAAGGCGCTCGGGGTAGGGCTGCAGCTTTTACGGTTTCGAAGGCTGCAGCATTTCCAAAGCACAGGGCCTCTGAGTTTGAGAGAGGCATGGTTTGACAATGGCCGAGCTGGCGTAAAGCATGCAAGGCGGACTAAGGCAGCGCTAAGCCAAGACGACGCATCTGCAGCAACGCTCTCCAATTCGTCGTTAAACATGTTAGTTTGGGCCAATTGCACGGGACCGGTGTTCTGCAATGTTCCTGAACCTACACAAGCCTCGGACACATGCGTTTTGCCGAATGCTTTCGGCGGTGGTTTTCGTTCTGAGGGTCTGTAAGGGTGGATTTATGAAGTTGGTTGAGCAATGGTGCAAAAGCGTTGCGGCGGGGGCAAGAGCATGAGGTCTGGGGTCAGCAACTGCTTACTCGTCAGGGGTACTAGGAGGGAAGTGTAAAGATACTAAAATTTACCATAAGGATACTTGTTTAACGGTTCAGGGTCTAGGGTTTGGGTACTGTAAACATTGCATGGGTCACACTGCAATAACAAGAACTGTTGACACCGCTGCGTGACGACTCGCAACAGCACCGGCGATTTTAATGGGATGTATATAAACTACACCAGTACACATACATACATATATATATATATATAGATAGATAGATACATATGTACATGGTGTGTATCTGTATGTGTATATACAATGTGTGTATACATATACATACATACACTATACACGTGCGTTTATAAGCCGGGCCGGCATGTATATGTACGTAATGAATATGTACACACACATACATGTATACACTCATGTATTTAGACATATGTCTACACATGGGCAAAGTGTGTAAAGGTACATCTTGGTGCTGTTTCTCTGGACAAGCTTTGCGCGGATATTTTTGTATGATGTGGCGCACGCATTTTTGGCCGGCAGTGCACGCGAATTTGTGCGCGATCTTTTTGAGGGAGATAAAATCCGCGGCAAAATCCGCGAGAAAATTCGCAAGCAACTCTGCAAGACAACCCGGCAGGGCCATGCAAAGGAATCCGCGAAACATTCGTTGCCCAGACAGCCAACCCTTGTTCGGAGTGACCAACCAATGCCTCTCCCCATGCTGTGATTCTCGGGCATTACCCTATCCCTTTAGAGTTTGGGGGGTATAGGAACCTGATGAAGAAACCTAGGGTCTGTATTGATTTTCTTTGATATTGTGGACCCTAAGATTCTTCCAAGGCTTCTTAATCAGAAACCTACGTTACCACAAAATCGGAAACGCATTTCGAACAGCAAAGTTAGCCTTAAAGGAGCCCCTGAACCCTAAACCCTTGAAGGAACCCTTAAAGGACATGGGCTAGGGCTGATGCCAGGGGCTTGTGAGTGCATGCCACGGCACATTACATGCAGTGCGACCGGGAGCAAGAACAGCAGGAAGTGGTCTGCAAGTACTTCTCCACGATTCCTGCAGCTGGCGTTACCTTTACCCCTGGCCCCTAAACCCCAAACAGCCCCAAACCCACGAGCCCTAAAACCCTAAACCCTAACACGGGCATATCCAACATTAGCCAACCGGTAGAACGCGCACCGGCTGGATCGTCTTTCTCGCTTTATAATGGTTCATATAAGAGAACTATAAGGGTACTATATCGGGGGAGGGTTTGGGTTTAGGGTTAAAGGCTTAGAGTTTATAAGGTTTAAGGTACTATACATGGGTACTACGCATAAGGTTTCCTGCATAATTACCTGTTGGGCTTCTCATTAAAACCCATGAGGTTAACGCAAGTGCTTTTGTGTTCTCTCTCTCCAGAGAGCCCAATTCCCCGTAATTCAGGAATATACCTTAAATCATAACATTAGGCCCCTTATACTTCAAGGTAGCTTGTTTAACTACCCTAAACCCTAAACCCCTAAACCCCCTTATAGTTTAAGGTATATTGTTTAATTAAGGGGTATTGGGCTCTCTGGGTCTCTTGGGCAACGCATGCAATGCAGTATGCCGTTGTTGTGCGCCTTTTTCGGATTCAGTCTTCAGGGTTTAGGGTTTAGGATTTAGGGTTTAGGATTTAGGGTTTAGGGATATTATATCTGGATATGGCATAAGTATGAGTGTCTCTCCACGTGTGTATGCAGGGACAGATGGAGCGAAAGAGACTGAAGTGTATGAGGGCAACCGACGCTGTGAACAGGGGATAACAGGGGATGTGACATTTTGCAAAGTCCAGAACCCTGAACCCTGAACCCTACCCTAAACCCTAAACCCTAAACCCTAAACCCTAAACCCTATAAAGCCTAAACCCTAACCCCTAAACCCTAAACCCTAAAGCCTAAACCCTAAACCCTAAAGCCTAAACCGTAGAATGTCT